CCCAAAGAGGCCCTACATCAGACAAAATAAACTTTTAAACACAGACTATAAAGAAACAAAGAAAGACATTTCATATTCAATAGACAAGATACAGAAGCAAACTAAGTGTCTACAGATGGATGACTGGATAAAGAAGTGAATTAAGTTAAACAGAGAAAGACAAATACTATATAATTTCACTTACAGGTGGCATCTAAAAAACAAAAGAAATGAAAAAATCAAAACAGAAATAGACGCATTGATACAGAGAACTGCTGGTTGCCAGATGGGAAGGGGTTGGCATATTGGATAAAAAGATGAAGAGATTAAGAAATACACATTGGCAGTTACTGGAATAATCATGGGGATGTGTGAGTAGTATGGAGAACATAGTCAATAGTATTGTAATGAACATGGGTGGTTCCAGGTGGTACTAGACGTACAAGGGATGGGGGAGGATCACTTCATAAGTCATATAAATGTCTGACCACTATACTGTATACCTAAAACTAATATAATATTGAATGCCAACTATAATTGAGGGAATAAAGCATGTACACAAAATAAGAAATGACTAAGGGAAAATAAGCATTGAAAAATGAAACTAAAAAATAAAACACAATTTTTCAGACCTTTGTGCAAATACATTTGAAAACAAAGAATAATTTTTAATGAAAATATAGATTATCAAAACTGATCCCAATAGAGATAGAGAACTTAAACAGCCTGATTTCTATAGAAGAAACACAGAGTTATCAAAGAACTATCCCAGAAAAAGGTACAAGCCTAGATGATTTCACAGGGGAATTCTACAAAGCTTTCATAAGCTAGATAATCCCACTGTTCCCTATTTGTCCCAGAGCACTGAAAACCAAGGAGATCTTCCTAATCTTTTTTATGAGCAAGGATAACATTGATACCTAAGCCTGATAAAGACATTACAAAAGAAAATTATAGACCAAGTACCGCATAAAGCATAAACAAAGAGAACACACTGCCACCTTAAACAACAAAAGATCAGAAATTATGGTGGGTTAAAGATTAGGAAATCCATTACTATACTATATTAATAGTGCCACAGGAGGAAAAATGATTCTCTCCAGGGATGCTAAAAACCTTTAACAATTTGCAATATCATGGCTGATTAAAAAATCAGGAAAATAAAAATTGATAGATAACTTCCTTAAATCATAAAATACACATATACTTTAATTCTAACGCTAGCTTCTTAATGAAAATACAAAACAGACATTTCCACTTGATCAGAGACAAGACAAAAACTACTCAATACTGCATTGGAGGTGCTTGCCAGTATAATTAGATAAATCAATGAGAGGTATAAGAATTGGAAAAGAAGTAAAATTATCTGTACTCGTAAATGATATTATATATATATATATATATATCTAAGAAATGCTAAGTAATTCATAATTGAACTAAACCAATAAAAGATTTTAGTAAATTAGCAGGATATATAATTAACGTATAAAAATTGATAGTCTTCATAAGCAAACAACAAACTAGAGAATAAAAAGGGGAAAATATTTACAGCAGCAATGAGGAAAATTAAGTATTTGGAAATAAACAAGAAATGTGTCAAAACTACACAAAGTTTTAGAACTCTCCTGAAAGACACAAAAGTATATTTCAACACATGGGGAAATATCTGTTCTTGACTAGGACAACTCAGTATCACAGAAATATCAGTTCTCCCTGAATTAGTTTAATATTTTAAAGAAATCCCAATAAAAATACCAATAAACTCTTTTATGGAGCTAGTCATTGATATCCAAGTTCATATCAAAAAACAAACATAAAAGATTAGTCAAGATAGAATAACCCAACCAGACATTATAACACACCATAAAGATTTCAACTAAAATATTGTGGCAGTGGCTCCTGAACAGACAAACTGACCAGAGGAACAGAATAGAAAGTCTAGAAAAATACTCAAGTATAAGTAGAAATTTAAAACATGATAAAGTGTCTTTAAAATCATTGGGGCGCCTTTGCCAGTGTGATTCAGTTGGTTGGAGCATTATCTCATAGACTGAGCGGTTTCCAGTCCCGTCCATGGTCAGGGTACATACTTAGGTTCTGGGTTCAATTCCCGGTCAGAGTGCGCATGGGAGGCAACCAATTGATGTTTCTTTCTCATACTGATGTTTGTTTATTTCTCTCCCCGCCCCCTTCTCTCTCTCTGGAAGCAATGAAAGAAATGTCCTCCAGAGAGGATTGAAAAAAAACAATGGGGCAAAGACACCTTTTTAATAAAAGACTGAAACAACTGGTTTATCATTTACAAAGAAGTAAAATGAAACCCATAACTTACAGCATGTAAAGAATACACTCCAAACAGATCAAGGATCTCAATAAATGCACATACAAAACCATTCAAGTGCAAAAACGGTAATTCCTCTTAACCTTAGTGCACGACAAGACTATGATTTAAAATCCAGTGTCAATAAAATATTAGTAAATTTTACATAATAAAAAGTTTGTATGACAAAAAATAACACAAACAAAGCAAAAAAGACTGACAAATTGGGAAAAATATTTGCAACACATGTCAAAAAGAAAGGGCTAATACTCCTAATAAGAATCCCTCAAAAGCAAGGGTAATAAAACAGAATCCAGTAGAAAATAATGAAAGACATGAACAGGCAACTTTCCAAAATATACGAAAACTGCCACTAAGCATATGAAGAATTGTTCAATCTCGTTCCTAAAGAGAAACAAATTCAGCTACACTGAGATGCAATGTGGCGCAGTTCTTCTGAAGGGGAATTTGCAGTATCTAACAAAACTGCATAGGCTACCTTTTGACTAGCTGCACAGGCTACACAGGCTACAAAACTACCTTTTGATTTACCTATTATTCACATCAGGAATTTACCCTGAAGATACACACCCAACAACTTGAAAAGATATACATAAACAAGATTAAGATTTGTGTTTGCAGCAATGTTTGTAATCACAAAATACTGGAAATTAAATGCTCAAACCTGGGAGAGCTCTCGAATACGTGTTGCTACATACACACAAGCAAGTGTAATGAAGCTCTAAAAAAAAAAAAAAGAATGAGGAAAATATGTAACATGGAGCAATTCCCAGGAAATACTGACAAGAAAGAGGGAAGAAAAAGAAACTGTGCTTCTCTCATTTGTGGGGTACGGAGGAACAGGAGGAATAAACTAGAAACTCATGAGATTAATTTGGGGGGACCAAGTGGGGTTAGGGATGGGAAAAGGGTAACATGGAAATGGGGAGGGGCAGTTTTTGAAAATTTTTTTTGTATAGTTCTGTCTTTTAGAACCATACTGATGCTATTTTAGAACTACATCAAGTTAACAAATAAAACCAATTAAGATGAGGTGGGGACCCAAAAGGAAATAAAACAGGAAGAAATGAATGAACCAAAGTGGAACTAAAAAAGTGTTTTATAATTAAAAAATAAATAACCCCACTGAAGGGAGGTTTGGAGAGAAAAGATTTCAAAAACACTGGAAGGCAGAGCCTGACTATATACACACCCAAGGGCTAATGAGAAAACCAGAACTGCACACAATATTACACAGTAGCAAACAGGCTTGTTTTTCAGTTATGAATCAGCAATCGTCAAAACCATGTATATTCTAGGACTGAGAAAATAAGTAAATACACTACAAATAATGAGAGCCACATTTGTCATTGTCAAAAAAAGGAGTTACAAATAAGAAAAGCAAAGGCTAGAATGAACACCATGGTGTTGAACTGGAGCCGGAAATATAAACTCATGATTATTAACATATACATATAGAGGAAAATATAAAAAACAGATAAAAATGTGTTGTCTGTTTATATATAAATATATTTCCAAGTTAGTTCACTGAGAGGGCCTTGAGGCCAGGACACTGCACTATCAATAAGTACACCTAGAACTGAAATTCTGATTTTTAAATACCATTGTCCAATGTACTATGAAGGAACCAGAACACCTCAAAGAAATGACCAATTCCAGGCCTGGGGCAGGGAAAGTGTAAGGTGAGTCCAGAACATCTTGTGATGTCAGACCACAGAGACAACCTCAAAAATGACAGGGTCATGTCAAAACTACATAGAAATCAACTTGAAAGAGCTTCCAGTAGCCACATCTGAGGTAATATAAACAAAAATAAATAAATTTTAATCAGAGTATAACGCATAGAATAAAATAAGAATCCATAAATCCAAACTGATATGAAGACAACATTTAAAAAGAAGGGAAAGCTCTTTTTTCCAGGAGAATTCCAACTAAGTATATGTAGAAGAAATGATGAAAAGGAAAACATCTTTCAGCAAACACTAAATAATAATTGTTCCAGGCAAGAAATATCAATGGATACTAAAATTAGTCAAAGAATGTATGATAAGAATATTAACACAGTTTCAAAGTACCCATAATCACGTTGCAAAGAGGAGAAAGTAGTCATTTTAGAATGAAAAGATCTGGCAACACCACTTTAACCTGGTGATTAAAGTCAACTTCACCAATAAGGGGACAAATCACATCCCTACTGATATGATGCACTGAGGACATGTGGCTTTGACTCTGGTGTTATTTTTACTGAACATGTATAACTTGAGTTTAATTAAATGTATTAATTAATAGAATGTAAGACAAACTCAAATCAGGAGATACTATGCAAAATAACTGGCCGGCCCTCTATAAAAGTGTTACTGTGGTCAAGATTAAGGAAGAATAAGTAACGGCAATGTGTAATTCTGGATTGGAGCTTGGACCAGAAACAGGACATTAGTGGGATGATTGGGAAAATTTGAATGAAGTCTATAGGTTTGGTAACAGTAATGGTTACTTGACTTCCTAACTGTATTACTGTTAACTTGGTAGCTTTGATTATAGTAATATGGTTATGTAAGATGTTAATATCTGGGTATCTGGGTAAAGACTATATACGAATTCCTTGTACTATTTTTATGTTTTGTTGGTTCTGAAATTATTTCAAAATGAAAAGTTTAAAATAAATATACACATATATAACCTAATACTTTGAAGTTCCCTTCTGGCCGACTCTTCTGCCATCTGTGAAGCCCGCAATTTCTCTTCACACTGATCCTTCTCGGACTGCCTCCAGACATCGTTTTCGACTTTCATTTTCTCTAAATCCGCTAATCTGTTCTCCAGTTCTAGCCTAAAACAACAGATGACAATTATGTTACCAGAACTACAATAAGGATAATATGACAGCAAAATGTGTTCATTTGCAAGAAGATTTAACACAAAATAAGGTAATTATGTACTTACTTTTCATTTTGTAATTCCACAAGTTTCTGATAACCTTCTTCCTTGGCAGCTTGTACTTTACGTATTAATTCACGATCCTTTTCTACTAAGAGCATTTTGTGGTGTTCAACAGCTGATTTGAGAATTTCATTATCTGACTGTAATCCTAATATTTTTTAAGGAGAAAAATGTGCTATACTCAATCTTATTAAGATGAAAAATCACATAAGCAAACTTTCATAAGTTGGTAAGACAAAACAGTAGAGAAAGTAAGACACTCTAGATATATTTTCAAAAATTGATACACTGATAAACTTTTCATAAGAGTGAAACCAATTAAAACTCAGAATTAATTTTTCTGTTATTTTATTTAGCCTACACACAAAAAACATTAATAAAAGCATTTACTCATTTGAATCTTTAGAGCTAGGGACATCAACCTGGACAATAGCCAAAGAGGTTTAAGTACTTATTTCATCTCTGATAGGGCTCTGTAACCTAAGCCCCACAGAGAACATCCTCATAAAGCTGGCTGGAAGCAGAATAAATAAAATCATAGAACCCTTCAAAATCTAACATACTAGCAGAACTATTAGATTTCCAGTAGAAATATAAATTGGAAGCTTTCGATTTTGTCCAATGAATTTACAAATCTTCCTTGTAATGAGATGACAAGCATTTTGCAGATAGAACTAAAATTTGTATTTAACTCAAATTTAAAAAGAGTATAGAACTAGATCCCAAGCTCCTTGAGTTGCTAAGAATATCGACTCCCTAACTCTATGTAAAATCATGAGTCAACATCAAGTAGAAATTAATAATGAAAGCAATCATTCATCATAAGTTGTATGTGAAACTACAGAGGAGTTAAACTAAAGACCAACTTGAGGACAGTTATAGGCCAAAGGCAGCTTATTTAAATATTCAAGAAAAGTCAGAAATAATATAATTTCTGAGGAATCTTGATGAGAAACACATTGTAAACACTAAACTGAAGCTTCAAAATAAGCCTAGGCTGAACTAGGCTCAATAACTGGCACACAGTTATTGAGGGTCTACAGAAAAAAAAATTTTTAATGTAAAAATTGGGTTTGGAACATGATCTAAATAGATTTAAAATTTAAATCACACGATCTAAATAGACGTAAAACTGTAAACTCAGGAAATATGGAATTCTCATTGTAAAATTTCATTTAATTTATGCATTAATCAAGTAACTATAACATAAACATAAGATTGACTTTTAAGAAGATTGCAGAATGAACATTCACCATATAAACAAAAATAATCCATATGTGCTCTAACATTAAAACTCAAGCTGAAAATCTGAAAATAAAAATTCAGTGATTTATTTTAATAATTTTAGTTTATATGTGAAAATAATAAAAAGCATGGGAAATTATATATTACCATCCAGTTCACTTTGAATCTTATTTTTTTCTCTTTCTAGCTCACTTTTAGCTCTTGCTGTTTCCAGTTTGATGTCTGTTATTTCTAGTTTGTTTGAATGTTTAAGTTCTTTTACCTGTTGATAATTAGAAATTGCAATTACTATTGGTTATTTTCTTGCCATTAACTGCTCCCCTCACACATCAGTAGAATGAGACGATGCTGCGGTGTGGAGTGGAATGGCGCTCCTTCACCCAGGGAGGTGCTTCAGTGCCTGCAATGAGCCTTGACATCAAGGAAACAGTTTTTTTCCTAATAAAATCAAGTCCTTTTTAAAAGTGTGTTGGTGACAAGAAGGATTCCTTCCAGGTGTAAGGAACAGCACCTAAAATGTTACACAGGTATAAGGCCATGGTCTGCTTGAAAAATAAGCAAATGTATTATAGGTAGAGCAAAGTCTGGGCAGTGGCAGGGAATGAACTTTATATGCCATATAAAAGGGTTGTACATCCTGTTAGCTATTAAAGGTGGCACAGTTAACTTTGTTTCAGAAAATTAACTCTAACTGCAAATATGTGGGAGTAAGACACTAAAGAAATCAACTAAGAGTCACAGGACTGACCGGGGGAACGAGAAGGGTCAATGAATTTGGTGACCACGTAATATACGTGACATGCACATGTGCGCACATGTGTGACAGTAGTGGGAGGAACAAGTATAAAACTCAGAAATCTAATTTAAACCTTTACTGTCAAAATCTGATTATTTTAAAGCCCCAAGTGAATGTAAATAATTGTCAATGTTTTCCTCATAATTAACCCATCATATACCAATTTTCAGTCTTCCCTGAGACACCCGTTTTGGAAGTTGAACAGTTCTAGTCCACACGCAGCATTCCTTCAGTCTTTCAATAAACATTTACTGAGCACCTGTGATGTACTAGGCACAGTTTTAGGAGCTAGGGGTAGAGCAGTGAACAAGAAAGCTTTCCCTCTCCAATCGCCTGCACTCCCCAAACATTTTCCATATCCCCTCCCTCTGGTAAGGTGCTTCCAAAATTAGGTATAATAATATCAGGAGTATTTAAATAATACAGATATAAAGGTTAGACAAATCTTCATTCTGACATATTATATTAATGTATAAAACTATGAAATCACACTAGAAGACCGTGAATGGATGATTTACTTGAGTGTAATAATAATCTAAAACACTGGAGTTGACAGAAAGAAATCAAGAAGAGGGTCTAGACCCCTGGCCAGAGTGGCTCAGCTGGTTGGAGCATTTGTCCCATAAACTGAAAGGCTGCAGGTTCGATTCCTGGTCAGGGCACGTACCCTAGGTTGCAGGTTTGGCTCTGTTGGTGGTGGGGGGGCACGTACAAGAAGCAACCAATCAGTGTTTCTCTCTCGAATAAATATTTCTCCCTCTTTCTCTCTCCCCCTCCCTTTTCCTCTCAATGAGCATGTTCTGGAGTCAAGATAAAAAAAAAAAAAAGTGAAAGAGAGAGATCCTAGAGACAAAGAGAGCAAGGACGATAAAGAAAATCCATCTGTGAAACATTTTGAAATCATTGTAAGGAATGACTTGATGCAAAATCCCCACTTAAAGGTTATAAATAGAAAAGGTTTACTGCTAACCACACTAAGGATGCATCCCTTTCCAAATTAACTTGTTGATTGTTAAATGACACTACAAAAACCAAATACCTTATGCTGACATCAGTTTTGCATTTTGAAATCTTTCTAAAGTTCTTTTCTATGAAAGTAAGTCTCATAGAACAATGCTTAACTACATGGAAGCAGCTGAGAAATTATATTTATTTAAATACTTAAATTTTCTGTAATTGGGGTTTACTACATTATAATTTCACAGACAGACAGAAGTTAAACTATAAGTGCTTTACATTTCTGACCACAATAAAAATCCACTCTGTGTGACAAATGTAATTATAACTTGCTATTACATACTAACTGTAAAAGGTTAGGAATGACATAATAGCTCACTAACAAACCACACTGTGGCTGCTTTAAATATAAAGTGAAAAATTACAGTCATTTTATGTTGTAGAATCTTGATTAATTTCAACAAGAACTACGAAATAAAGACCTATTTCTTAATTCTGATTTCACCCTGAGATTTACTGAAAACGGAAAATACTTTTCAAATAAATTGTAAGTAGTGAAACAGAAAGAACAATGGACAGGAAATCAAGCAAGTTGAAGTGTGTCCACAGGCCTACTTTTATCATTAACCCAGAGGAACACACTCAAGCAGGCACTTGTTCTCTCAGCAGTCATATTTACTAAGCTATGTACCTAGGCAAGTTTTTCTTTAGTGCCAAATTTGTATAAAATGAATGCACTTACGCTAATACTAACTTCCTAAAATATATTTAAAGGAATGATTTTATTTAATAAAAATGAAAAATTCCTTAAAGTATTTATTGCTGAGATATGACAAGCACACTTCTACGAATGATCTGCACCAAATCGCGAATAGTGACAGCAACATTTCTTTCTCCCTCAAGGTCCTTGGTTCTTAACCTTCTTAGTGATCAGGTCTCAAAATGCATAAGAAAACTAGGAATCTTTTCCCAAACAAAATGTACAATGTTAAAATGTTGTATATAATTTCAAGAGACTCACAGTCTTCTGAAGCTTTTTGGGCCAAGCTACCTTGTTTTTGGTTTTCTTATGTTTTTTCTCCCCCATAAGGTTTTCCATATAGATTATGGTCCAGTGCAAATTTGCTTTATGCTTTTGACAAAGCAGAATGCAAGTACCCAGAGATGTCTGTCTAGTACTACTATCAGAACTTTAAGAAACAATTAAAAAAATAGCAACAGTAGACATTTTATAAGGTTTCAGAATCTGTTAATTACACATATACGGAGAATGCAAGAAAACTACATATAAGCAAGAAATAGAAATATAGTTGAAAAATGTATTAATCAAGAAGCTCTTGATAAAAATCCCAAAGAGATAATACTTATATTCTTATTTTTTCCAAAAGTCTGAGATGGTATGACCTCATTGATCTAGCTAATAAGGATAACTCTGTGGGAGGCTTCCTTAATGCTATTTTATTAGAGTTCTAAAGATCAAACCCTTCATGAGGTAACTAGATGAAATATCTATACAGTCATCATTCTCAAGCCATCTTTGGTATATTTTTTAAATTCAAGACTCGAGTCAAGTTGCCTTAACTTCATCAAGAAAGCTAACATTTACAAAACTGAATACACCCCAGGTGTTCCTTTGTATTGCAAATAACCACTTGCTAGAATCTCAAAAGAACTGTTGATGAAAATTTCAAGTTGCAAAGAAAACTGACAATCATGTTTGAAATATTATTTTGAAATTTATCCTCCTTCCCTGGCTGGTGTGGCTCAGTGGATTGAATACCAGCCTGCAAACTGAAAAGTTGTTGATTCGATTCCCAGTCAGACCTCATGCCTGGGTTGCAGGCCAGGTCACTAGTTGGGGGGCCTGTGAGGGCCAGGTAGTAGATGTTTCACACATTGATGTTTCGCTCTCTCCCTTCCCTCTCTCTAAAAATAAATAAATAAAATCTTTAAAATTCATTCTATCAATGAAATCTTTTGACAAGCAATATTTCATATGAAAACTTGGCTTATCTAAAGTTAAGGAGTGATTTTTAATACATTATTTATATGCAAAATAATACAAGTGTGCTTTTTTTTTTAATCTTTAGAGAAGAAGGGACAGAGAGAGGGAGAGAAACATCAATGTATGGTTGCCTCTAGTGCGTCCCCTGCTGGGAACTGGCCTGCAGGGAACTGGCCTGCAACCCAGGCATGTGCCCTGACTGGGAAATGAACCACGACTGATTTGTCTGGTTCACAGGCCTGGGCTCAATCCACTGAGCTACACCAGCCAGGGCTTAAAGTGTGCTTTTAAAAGACAGGCAACTCTTAGCAATGTGTATTAGTGAGCAATAGTAAAATGCTCTTCTTCCTTCAGGAGAATAGGAGAAATCATCTATGTGATAACTCTAAAAGAAGGAGCAAGAAGGCTGTGTACAGAAGGAGAAAGAAAAGCAGGGTCAGGACACAAGGAAAGCCAGGAAACTCATGTAAAACATGCTGCAAGGAACGTACCTGGTAATCCGCAAGAGAGTTAGAAGCCACAGCACAAGCCAGCTTATCCAATGTCCTACTGCTCCATCTATGGTTGAGATTATTCCAGCAATTCAGCTCAGCTACTCAAGTCCACACAGTGTTTTGAAAATACTGAGTACTCACTATTTTTGTTTCTTTCTTTTTTAAAAGAGATTTTATTTATTTCTTTTTAGAGAGGGGAAGGGAAGGAGAGAGAGAGAGAGAAACATCGATGTGTGGTTGCCTCTTGTGTGGCAACTGGAAACCTGGCTTGCAACCCAGGCATGTGCCCTGACTGGGAATTGAACCAGTGACCATTTGGTTCTCAGGCCAGCACTCAATCCACTGAGCTATACCAGCCAGTGCAATTTTTCTTTATAAAATTGAAAATAATTTATATAAGAATTAGAAGAAAAGCATGAGAAAACTCCCTGTATCCTAAATTTACTTATTTGTGTTCTGCATCTATTTCTGTGCATCTTCTATTATTGTAGGCACTCAATATGTATGTACTGAATATAGAAATAATTTGCTTACAGCTAACCAAGAAGAAATCAAATTATGTATTTTCTAGTAGGACTTACACAACCTTAATAGGCTGTAACAATTCTTAGGGATCAGTCAGAATACAGTGCTTCATTTCATCTCTGAGGAAACTGGATTCCAATAGTACTAAGTAACCTGCTTGAAGTCATACACACAGTTATCGATATAATAAAGAATGAAATTAATCGATGATCTCAAAGTTATGTATATCATTTTCTCATTTAAGGATATCATAAGTATGTAACTATTGCCATTATCATTTTCTTCACCAGACATTTATTATGTTCAATACCATCTTTAATCTTACAAAAATCATGTAAGACATAGGTATTATCCCCATTTAAAAGTCAGGCAAGTCAGAAGTCTACAGGTGGTGAGTGAGATGAATGACTCGGGACAGAATTCAATTCATTGGATTCAAAGTCCATTAATTTTCCCATTGCCCTTCACTACCTGCACCAAAATGATAGTGTTTAATTTCTAAATATATCTGAATCTCAACCTATAAGATAAATGATAAGACTATGCTTGAATTAAAACATTTTAACAATAAAAAACTCATTGCTTAATTTTCACTTATTCTTTCTGGTGTCAGCCATGTCTAATAAATTAAATGAGATACTGGCTACAAAATCACTTTGTAAACTGTGAAGGATAGATAGTCAAACAAAAATCTGAGCGACAGACATATATGTCTGAGCGACTAGACATATAATCTGCAAATGTATGTGTCTGCCATGGAAAAACTGAGTAGACTATCTCCCAAGGCATCTAATCTCTGATATAATGGCATTCACCTTTCAGTCACAGAAATCTAATTTTGTCACCACACTTAAAAGACTCTCAAGATTAGACTCACATTAATAAAGTTTACAAAGAATGATCTATAAAATCAGAACATCAGTTTATTAATTATGAGAAAAAACTGTGACAGAAAGTAGAGTGCCCTAAGTCTGAAAAACCAATGCATTCTCTCCCTGGAGACAAAATTACATGGGAAGTCAAATAACAGTCAGAAAGTTGCTTGGTGATCATTTAATTTAAGCTAATGGAATGAGATGAATTGTTTCATGGCCGTAAGTTAAACCAGATCGGTGCACTCCTTTCCACAGTAATAAAGGTATTTTCAATGGGTCAGAGTACTTAACATCTTCTGACTAAAACTCTCTGTCATAAACACCACTTCAGTCTCTCAAGTAGTTCCTTAGCTAAAAAGATTGTAATTAATACATTATTCCATTCAATAAGTTCATACACGTCTAGCAAACTACAGTAAAATCCTTCTAGTCTAGGAGCCATTTTGTTTAAGGTGCTTTTACATATAACTCTGCTTTGCTAGAAAATACATACAGGGGTTAGCAAATGTAGGTTTACAGTTTGAGTACATGAAACAGTTCATTCTTTTGAGTTAATAAAACTCTTGTAATAATAATAATAACCTACATATATTTTTCCAGACAAAAAACTGGAAACCTACTTTTGCCCAAACCTGTATTTCACTGATATAGTAACTAGCTTTATTCCTAAATTCTTAAAGATGCCCAGAGTGCTACTAGTACTACTACTTCTACTACTAGCTAATATTATAATTGTAATAATAACAGCTAATACTTGGGTGATTACTCAACACTACTCAATACTATGCTAAATATCTTATGCATAATATCTCATTAATCTTTGTCACACTGTGTAAGGTGAGTATTAGACTCATTTCATAAAGGAAAACAATGTTTTCAGAGAGAACATAAATTACCCAAGGTCACACAGCTAGTAAGCAGAAGCAATGAAATTGGAATCATGTCTGTCTGATTCCAGAGCTCATATTCTTCCTCACTATAGTCGTCTATAAACCACTTCTATCATCGCTGTCCTGTCCCTGGTTACTGGGCTCCTTACACATGTATCCTGCATTTCAGGGATACATACATAAAAGTTCTTAAGAAAACTCTGTATATAAAATGACTAAACCATTATATATTTTTTTAAATAACATAAATGCTAATTCTGATTTACTCACTTAACATTTATTAAGTGTCTACTGTGTACCAGCCTTTTTCCAGGAGCTGGAGGTACAGCAGTAATATAAGCAATGTCCCTGAGCTCTGGAACTTATCTTGGGTTGGTGTAAGGAGATGGAAAAAAAAAAGACAAAAAAATAAATATCAATATATTAGACAGTGTTCAGAGCTATGAAGAAAATAAAGCACAATGAGGAGAATTAAGAGGGCAGAGGAAGAGGGAAAATGGCATTTTACAAAGTGAAGACCAGGAAAGTCTCTGATAAGGCAACATCTGAAAGAGGTAAGGAAACAAGCTGAGTAGATATGTGGGGGAGGCCATGCCAGGCAGGAGTGGGCTTGCTCAGAGCAGACAGAGAAGGCACATGAGGATATTCACAGTGGAGGTAAACAGAACTGGTCATAGTCGGCATTTATTTGGAAGGTAATGCAGAATGACAGCACTAAAAAAAGATCTCAGTACAGACAACCAAATTTAAATATACAATTTCTTCGTCATTATACAGTATCGAGCATTCTAAAAAATAAAGTAGAAACATAAGATGACTTACTTTACTGGTCAATGTATTTATTTCCCGTTCAGCTTTATGCAGTCTACTGATTAAAATAGTATTTTGTTCATTGCTTGCTTGTAGCTCTTTTTCCAAGCGCTCAGCCTGTAGTTTAACTGACTGTTTTTCAGCCTGTTATTTTGTTATTAAAACAAAATATTTAAAAATTGTTCCCTAATTTTTTAAAATTATATACAAATAAAGTAAGTACTATTTAAAATACGAGTAATCATACTACCCAAAATTATTCAAAATCTCAACAATAGTAACACATACCAAAGAAAAACATATTTTTCTTAAACCACTTGTTTCAAATGAAAGATGTGTGTTCCAAGAAATATGCAACAGAGATATCTGGAACAGATTGTATCAAGAGTCACCAGTGAAATAAAACTCTCATACTTATTTTTTTTCTTAATACATATTTTATTGATTATGCCATTACAGTTGTTCTATTCCCCCCCTTTATTCCCCTCCACCCTGCCCACCCCTCCCCCACCATTCCCCCCCTTTAGTTTATGACCATGTGTCTTAAGTTCTTTAGATTCTATATTTCCCCTACTATTCTTGCCCTCCCCCCATCTATTTTCTACCTACCGTCTATGCTCCTTATTTTCTGTACCTTCTCCCCCCTTCTCCTCCTTCCACTCCCCTGTTGCTAACCTTCCATGTGATCTTCATTTCTGTTTCCACTCCTGATCTAGCTGTCCTTGCACTGTTCATATTTTTTATCTTCTTTTTCTTAGATAAGTCCATTGAACATTTCATATAATAAGGGCTTGGTGATGATGAACTCCTTGAACTTGACTTTATCTGAGAAGCATTTTATCTGCCCTTCCATTCTAAATGAAAGCTTTGCTGGATAGAACAATCTTGGATATAGGTCCTTGCTTTTTATGACTTGGAATACTTCTTTCCAGCCCCTTCTTACCTGTAAGGTCTCTTTTGAGAAATCAGCTGACAGTCTGATAGGAACTCCTTTGTAGGTGACTGTCCCCTTATCTCTTGCTGCTTCTAGAGTTTGTCCTTCATTTTAATCTTGCTAAGGTAATGATGATGTGCCTTGGTATGTTCCTTCTTGGGTCCAACTTCTTTGGGACTGGCTGAGCTTCCTGGATTTCCTGGAAGTCTATTTCCATTGCCAGATTGGGGAAGTTCTCCTTTATTATTTGTTCAAATAAGTTTTCCACTTGTGGCTGTTCCTCTTCCTCTTCTGCTACCCCTATAATTTGGATGTTGGAACGTTTAAAGATGTCCTGAAGGTTCCTAAGCCTCTCCTCCTTTTTTTGAATTCTTGTTTCTTCATCCTTTTCTGTTTGGTCATTTTTTTTCCTCCTTCTGGTCCACTCCCTTGATTTGAGTCCCAGTTTCCTTTCCATCACAATTGGTTTCCTGTACATTTCCCTTCATTTCAATTAGTTTAGCCTTCATCTGTTCCTCTAATTTGTGACTATAATCAACCAGTTCTGTGAGCATCCTGATCACCAGTGTTTTGAACTATGCTGAAAGTTTGGCTATTTCTTCATTGCTTAGATTTATTGGCTCTGGGGCTCTGAGTTGTTAATGAGCCATGTTTTGAGCTGTTCGTGCCTGTTACGTATGAGGAGCGGAGCCTTAGGTATTCACCAGGGCGGGGCCACCCAGGTCGCTGGTTTGTGACACTGTATGTGGGGGCGGGGTCAGAGAGGGACAATGGCAGTCCCCTCTGCCACTTCCCGCTCCTGGGGCCTACTTGGTCTGTCTCACTGCTCGCTCCTTCACCGGTTTATCTGCGAGCAAATGTGTGACTGCAGTCAGCCCTCAGTGGGTCTGCCTGCCACTCCACACCTGGGATCCGCCCACGGCTGCTGGTCTCATACTTCTTTTATGAATGCAGTCACTTGATAACTATTTACCCTTATTGCTGACATAATTCAGACATACATTTTTGGGGTTCCAAATCCACAGCAGATATGCAAATGCATACTGGAAGTAGAAGAGGGGGTCTATTTATAATAGTAAGAATTAAAAACTGAATCTAAAATCAATGGAGATTTATTTTTAAAATGAGATGTAAGAATTAAAAATCCTCAACTAATTTGCATCCTTTGGAAGTATGGGCAAAGAGCTCAATAGCTCTTAACCTCATCACTAATAAAGATTCTTAGTAAAGTCTAAAGTTGTCAAAAAATTTCTGTTTGGTAATACTCACAGTACTCTCTAGTTAGGAAGGCAAAACTAAATGCTTTTAAAAAAATATTTCTACTCAAAATACTTAAAATAAAAATGCCTGGCATTTAAAGCATAAGCTTCAGTTTTGTCACATCTCATTTCCTATGTATCGTAAATATAATATAGGAGGGTATTTAAATAACTCAAATGACCCCCCCTCCACTTTCCTCAAATAGAAAATGATAGTTCTGGGCACACTGATAGCCAAAAAGTCAAAGGTCAAAGATGAAAGAAATGCTTGCTGCCATTGCTTATTTTCATTTCATTTGATAAAATTAAATACAGGCCCTTTTGAAGATGTTGCAAATGAACCTCCCCTCTTTTGTCATCATTTAACTTGTCCTGAAAATAACCACTCTAACAGGCCTCATGGCAAGTCTTACACTGGGGCGCCAACCACATTCCATTGCAGCCATCCACTTAATCCATCACCGTGTAAATACACAAAGGATGCACGGACAGCAACACAAGCGGCGTCATTCTGAATTGCCTCACATTAAACACCAATTATACTAACAACTATAGTTGAGTACCAGTATATTCTACCAAAAGCTTTATCCAAAAAAAAAAAAAATATGACATCTTCCAATATACTCCTTGTACCAGTTTGCTGACTGAGGAAAAAAAAAATCATTCTTTTGGATATTGGATTTTAATTATAAGCTAAGTACCAACTAATTTCTTCCAAATCAAATCATTCCACAACTATCCAAATGAAAAAATAAAGTACTTTGGACTGTTCAAAACAAATTCAATACAAACTAATGTATTTGTTATGTGTTAGACACTAATAATTCAGAGTAGGCATCTCTGAAAAGATGGTGAAAGGGTCCAGAATATTTTGCCACTGTGGCATAAAAATTCTGTTGAGCAGAAAGCATTTGGGAATCAACACATATTTTAAAAGGAGGGGTTTTCCTCTACTCCTTTTATCTGCCTAAAAGTGGAGCCTTGGAAAAGAATTTAACTGTTATAAATTCTCTCCCCAGGGGCTGCCTATGCAGGGAAGACCGACTCCTATCATGAGAGACAGGAAGTCAGCATCAGATAAGAAATCACCTAAAAAGACATTTCACAAAACTGTTGTTTCCAATCTACTCTCCTAAAGGCCCACTTAACTTTCCTAAGAGCTCTTTCTTCACTTCTCCTTTCCCTACTTAAGATGGCATCTAAGTCCCAAATTCTAACTGCTGCTTTGGGACACATTTTTCTGTGAACCTCCATGCACATATATGAATAAAAATCTATCTTTTCTCTTACTAATGTCTGTTGTCATTACTAATTCACAATCCCCAATCACTGAACATAAATGGATGAGGCAAAAGTTTACCCTCTTCCACAATGGAAACCAAAGATTTTCAATGGAGAATACCTCTAGCAATATCAGCATCGATCTGCCAGCTCTTATCTCTCTGTAATGAACTCAGGAAAATAATTCAGTAAAGCCTTTTATGCATTAGTAGCCAAGGTGAATTTTATTCTGTGGCAAAAAGCTGTCACAGGTCTGTAAGTATGGTAGTTCTGTTTAAACTAGACTTAATGATTTTAAGATCTTAAATTCTAGTATAAGAAAATAACTATCCAGGAAGAAATAGTTCTTTCTGGTTTGAGATGACTTTAGTCTCCAGAAACTCAAATAAATTATTTTGGATTTTGCATATTCTACTCTGTGGCATTACAAGAGTTACATCATTGAAGATAGGTGACTTGACTCCCAAGGAAGAAATAATCCCTTTATGTTTGTGGTAGCATATCCACTGCTTATGAATCAATAGTTTTCATCTATACAAAAAGAATATATATACTCTTGGGATTCCACAAATGTGTCACATTATATTGGTGAGCATATACTTATTCTCTAAAAACCAGAGGCTTGTCAACTGCACTTAAGGGAAGTATCAGGAAGCAACTGAAACCTTACCTCCAGGGATCGGACTGTAGCCTGCATCTCGGCCAACTGCCGCACCTGAATTCTTTGGAGATTATCCACCTGAGTGCCAGAATTCTCTTTTTCAGCCCTTAATTCTGCTACTTCAGCATCTAAATTTTTTATTTTCTGATACAAATGGCCTTTTTCTCGTATAAGTTGCTCCACTCGTTTGCTGTCTCTGGTGGGATCAACACTAATCAGCTGATTATGTAGATCTTCTTTATCTTTCTCCAGTCTCGCAATCTAATGATAATTTGAAAGAAAGCATACAACTTTAAATTATTGAATCTTCAGTCATGAACATGCATTATAAAGTCAGTAAATTAAAATTTAAAGTGTATAATGTAAAAAAGAAAGCTTAGGTAGTGAAATGAAGTACTAAGAAAAAATTCTAAAATGTCACATTCTTCACTCGACTCAGCACGACTCAACTGTGAGGGGAAGCGCCTTGTCCTATTTCCCCTTTATCTCCCCATGGTGTCTAGCATGGGGCTTCATCAGTCGCCAAATAAAATTAAAAATTATAAATAATACTATAAAAGTAATTATTAAAATGCCAAGTTTTATTTTAAAAACTGATCACAACATTACAGGGGCTTATACAAGATCAATATGCTGATTACTGCTAAGCTTTTCCTTATGTGACAGTAATTCTTGAACTATTGCTATGCTAATAAAATTATCTATTCCAAGGCAACTTAATTCACCAAAAAAAGCTGTTTGTCCATATAAATAACTACAGATATGACTGATGAGAATTTGTAAACAACATCTGAGAGTTTATTAAGGCCCTAGCTATAATGATGGCATAGTTCCTAATTCTTAGATTCTTGAAAGAACGGAAAATCACTGCTCCAAGGCATTGAGAAAAGTCGCTGGGGAACTTATAGAGCAGGACCACCAGCGTTCGCCTCGTTCCTGCCAACCATCACTTCCAGGTCCCACGGGCCTCCCAATGAGTGGGCTTCTAACTGGTTCCTAACCACTAAGGCACCTCGGGGGTGACTCACCTCTGGGAATGAGGGGGCCAGCTAGTCATGGTAACACTCATTCTTTCCTTTCCTGATCCCCCAAACTGTGTGCCCCTTACCACCACCACCACCAACAACAACAACAAAATCTTTGTTGTTAACTAGACCTACTCTTTTTAGTCTCCTTTTATATACATGAGGTTTCTTTAGACAGCTTAACTTAAGGAAAGGATTCCATTATTTAATTAAAAAAACCTAGAAACTACAGCTCAAACCAGGGTTTGTGTTGTAGCTACAATGAGCTGAGAAGGCTCCCTCTAAGCCAAAAGGACTTACAGTAAAGCCCTGCAACCTTGGCAAAAGTGGCCCAAGTGACAACTGATTGCTCACACTGCTATGTATGAATCAAAGAAGTGTGAGTGTTCTCATCTGTAAAACGAGAGGTTAGACTGGAGGCCCTCTAAGGTCCTTTCAATTTTAACATGTAGTGATTCCAATTTGGTTTTGGACATGTGAAAATAAAGATGTGAATGGAAAACAGAACTATCTAGCCAGCAAAGTTTGCTTTCCAGAAAGATAAAATTTTCTTAGAAGGCAACTGTACAATTCAGAATCAAGCCCTCAAAAGCCCACCTAATAAGTATCTCTCCTATTTTTCCTCCTACCCTTTACACATAAACATTGTCCCTGGGGTTTGGTCCCTGACTACCTGTTTTCCTCTGTTTCTCTTTCTTTTCAGCTATTTGTGTGGCTGTGCCAGTCACTTTTTCACTTTAGCCTCAGTTAAAATGAAGGGCTTGGGCTAGACCATTTAGCTTTTGCATAAGGTAATTCATCTTAGGTCAGGAGTCAATGTAGAACTCCGATTCAGACAACAGTGTCTTTACTGAGTACTTGAATGAGTGCTGAGCTGAATGAGCCAAACCTACAATTGTATGCAGTAACATAATTTCTCTTGTCTTCATTCACATTGTGTATGGGGTCAGAGAACTAATGTTTTTGACCAGCATGTTTCCTGTACCACTATTTTCTCTAGTTGTTTGGAGGGGCTAGAGTGGTAGCTGGAACTATGGACTGAGCTGGCTAATGGCAGAGTCAGGATTATTAGATCACACATTTACAATCCCTAAACCAGAGCTCACTGTCAAATCATTCCAACAAAAACTGGTAATCACTGCCTTCTAATTTCTCTATTCATTTACTGTCATGAGACAATTATTTATTGAGTATTTACTATGTACCCAGCACCGTTCCTAGCATTAAGGACACAGAGAACCAAGCAGACGAGCAAATAAACACAAAACCTGTGCTATCAAGAAGCTTGTATTTCATCACTGCTGTGACACCAAACTTGTCCCGGTCATCTGGGCACAGATCTGGGACACATGCTCAACTCTTCCCTTCTCCTCCCTCCACTCTCCATCAGATTCACGTGTCATCTTCCTTGAAAGGACAGCTGCGCTCGCAATCCTTTCTCTAAACTTACAAAAGGCTTTGTTTGAATTTCTCTTTTATGACATTTATCCAAAACTGCCTGCATTAATTACCTCCACGCTTACTTTACTCTTTTTGAGAATATAAAAGCTTACTTGGCAGGAAAAATTATGTATTAACCAATTTTACCTTTAAAAAATTGTCGAGGTAAAGAAAACTGAACATAAACAAATCAGGAACTAGTAATAATTGTTGATCTTCTTTTTAAGAGATGGTAGCACCATTCTAATTCTCCACAGCACCCAAAAGAAAAAGGTCATGTATCTAACTGCTCCAATAGTCTTGGTTTTTACCATTTTCATAACGCAGCACAGAGAAATGGTTAAGAGTACAAGCACTGCCATCAAATGGCCTAATTTTTTTTTCTTTCAGAATTAAAAAAATACTGTCTTTGGACTTCTATTATTTCCAAAAAGAAGTCTGTGCCATTCTTATCTTTATTTTCGGCAAAAAATGTCTTTTTCCTCAACTATTTTAAAAATAACTTTTTATTTTTAGATAGTGGGAGGTTCACATGCAGTTGTACGGAATAATACAAAGAGATCTTGTGTACCTATCACCCAGTCTGCCCCACTGGTTACAACACCCACCCTCCGTTTTCTAGAAAACATTGTGCAGAACTGGTTCTCACTTTTTTCAAATCACTTGGTAGAAATCTCCAGGAAAATCATCTTTTGAAAAATTATTAAATTATAAAAATTTAGTTTCCTTGATAGTTACATGACTACTTAAATTATTTCATACAAGCAGAGTTGTATTAGTACATGCCTATTTCATGTTTGTCAAATTTATTTGGGTAGAGTTGTTCACCTCTCTATAAGCTAATAAGATTACCTTATCATCCTTTTGATACCTGCTGTAAGGTCTCTAGTGATACTTGGTTTCATTCCTGATGTAGGTCATTTTTCTTCTATCTTTTTTGTCAGTCTAGCTAAAGATCTGTCAATTTATTAATCTCAAAGAAATAGCTCTTTATTTCCCTGATTCCCTTGATTGCTTTTGTTTTTCAATTTCATTGGTTTCTGCTCTTATCTTTTTTATTTCCTACCCTCTGCTTGCTTTGGGTTTATTTTGATCCTCTCTTTCTAGATTCTTAAAGTGAAAACTTAGATTATTGATTTGGCACTTCTTTTCTAACGAATGCATTTAATGATATAAATTTTCCTCTCAGCACTGCTTTAGGTGTGTCCCAGGTATTTTAATATATTGTATTTTCATTTTTGTTCAGGTCAATTTATTTTTTTAATTGTTCTTTCATTAAATTATGACTCACAAATTACCTGAAGTGTGTCATTTCATTTGAAGATTTCTCTGCTACCTTTCAGTTATTGACTTCTAGTTTAATTCTATAGTGACTAATGAACTACTTTATGTAATTTCAATTTTTATAAATTTGTTGAGGTTTATTTTATGGCCCAGGATTATGACCTATCTTGGTATATGCTCAGTGACCACTTGAAAACATTGTATGTAGGTACTCTTATTGGGTGGATGTTCAATAAATGTTGACAGGATTCTTTTGGCTGATAGTGTTGTTCAGTTTTATAGCTATCCTAACTAATTGTTCTATCAATTTTTAAGAGAGGAGTGTGAAGTCTCCAAAAGTAATTGTGAAATTTGTCCATTTCTCCTTTTAGTTCTGCCAGTGTTTACTTCACATTGTTTTGTAGCTCTGGTTCATACACATTTAGTACTCATTGTCTTCTTGGATGAGTGGTTTTGTCATTATATACAGTCTACCTTTGAATTTTCCTTTGATCTGAAATTCACTTTATCTGATATTAATATAGCCACTCCTGCTTCTTTTAATTTTTGCACGATGTGTCATTTCCTATCATTTACCAACTACCTATTTGTTGTATTTGAAGTTTCTTGGAGATGGAATATAGTTAGGTCTTTTATTTTGAAAATCAACTCTGTAAATCTGTCTTGTAAGTGGTATATTTAGACAATTTACATTTATTATGACAATTAATATATTATGGCTTAAGGTTTTCTTTTTCCGTTTTATTTTTAAGTTTGTTTTCTTTATCCTGCTTTCCTTCCTGTGGGTTACTTGAACATTTTTTTTTAGGATTCCATTTTGATTTATCTACAATGTTCTAGATATCTTTGTATATAGTTTTCTTAGCTGTTGCTGAAGGTATTACATTATCTATACATAAAATCATAGTCTGTTGGATTCATTTTATCAGTTCCAGAGACAGACAACTTCCCTCCCTTTACCTTATTCATAATATAATTATCTTATTTCCTCTCCATACATTTAAAAACATACTGGACAGTGTTTATCATTTTTGTTTCTAAAATCAAACAGAATTTAGAAAATCCACTCATGAAAAGAAAGTCTACTATATATATACCCACAGTTTTGGTTACTGTGCTCTTTTATCCTTCCTGATGTTTCAAGGCTCCTTTTACTTAGTTTTCTTTCTGTTTAGAGAATCTCCCTTTAGACACTCTTTTGGATAGGTGTACTGGCAACAGATTCTCTTAGTTTTCATCATGGTAAGAATGTCTTGATTTACCCTTCATCCCTGAAGGATACTTTTACTGGATATAGAATTATGAGTTGACAGTTTTCTTTCAGAACTGGATAATGTTGTCACGTGTCCCTCTAGCCTCTGTGGTTTCTGATGAGAAATATCAATACCTGGGAATTGTTTTCCTCTCATATAAGGAAGGTATCATTTCTTCCTTGCAGCTTTCAGTGTTTTTTCCTCTAGAGTTTAAGTCTGATGTCTCTTCCTGGGGATTTCATTGGTTTCATGCTGTTTG